TTGAGTTTAGAATTAAGACTGGAATCAGGGAGGCCTTTTTTTAATTTATTTTATACTGTTATTAATGAATTATTGACATCATATTTGGAAGAATGTAATTTAATGAGCTGGAGCAAACAAATAAGTCGATTGATTTATTATATTTATAAAGTTAGTTTGAATATTTGGATAAGTATTGAGTTTTTATTTTTATTTTGGTGTTACTGTCTTGAAGAATCCTGTTAAGGAGAGATTGTTATGTTCATTTATTTTATTATTATTGAGGATTTGCAGCTTCTCTTGCCAATGTGCTATGAGAATTTGATTTTGAGGTGTATTCCCCCTTATTTTGCTGAATTTGGATTTTGGTGTTACTGTTTTGAGGAGTCTAAAATATTGTGAAGAGGTGGTACAATATCTGTTTTTGCCCATAAGCCATGTTAAATAAGTAATTTCTTCTATTGGTTTTGTAGGTTATGTTGTTTCGATATCCTATTATACTGATATAATAAATAAGGTTCTATATTGGTTTGATCATTTATCTTTCTCATTTGGCGACTTTTGGCTTCTGCTCTAAAGAGAACAACTCAGTCTGTTTTGTTGTCAAGTAATATGGTTTTTAAGTGCTTTGCCATTTTAGGTGGATTTTGATCTTGTGGTGTTTTGGGTTATAGGAAGGCGAGACCATTCGGATTAATGTGAAGCCCAAGCCATCTAGTGGAACTGGCATGCTTTCAGCTGCTGGATTGTCAGGGGGGGTCTCTGGTAGTGGTAAGCCTAAGACTTTGGGGCTTGCCCCACCACACAGTGGTTCCGGAAAAATACACTCTCCTCTCCCACCCCCTCCCGATGACCCTGCTGCTGCTCGTATGACATCTAATAGTCAAGGTGTAAGTCTAAGAGCACCCAAGGAAAACACAAGACAAACTGACCCTTTAACAAAATTTTCTCAACTAGAGGTACGGCTATAATTTAATCCTTCGGATGCATACTTCATCATGTTTTTCTTAAATGTAGCATTGCTGGGAATCAGTTATCATAAAGTATTCAGGAGCACCCTTTTCCCCTTTATGCATAGTATATCCTCCACGTGTCTTTTCTTTGTTAGAGAGAAATTATACTCTTCCCGTTTTCTAGTTGATTCATTTTGGTTATTGTTTTTATGTGTATGTATTTTTCGCCATCGCCTTATCAATGTTCCCTGGTGGTAGAAATAATGTGGGTATAGGTTTCAAACCGAAGTTCAAATATTAAAAACAGAATATATTATGACCTTTTACATGTACATGGTGGAATGAAGTATGGAATCGAACTCGTCCTGGATGATAGGTGTTTCATATGTTTGGAGGCTGCTGTGTTTCTTTGTGAAAGAAATTCATTTCTGTTTTCAAATTTAACTGCATTGGTGACATTTACAGAGGGATCTTCCTGCTAGTGGATCTGGATCGAGGAAGACTGCGGCATCCGGATGGGCGGCTTTCTAATAGTACGAAATGTGATATCCTTCAATCTGATGTTTGGATATTTGCAGAAAGATGAAGAATAAAAGAGATTAAGCAAAATTCAGGACAAGATACCAAATACTTCCATGTTTCCAAATATCATATTGATGTCACATCTCTGGTACTTGAACTCGTATGTTATTGTTTTATATTATTTAAATATATCAGAGAAATTTATTTTTTTTATGTATAAATTTGCTGAGCTTTCAATGAGGGCAATAATCATTAGTATTATTGTCATGTTGTGTTTAAGGTGTTATGTAGATTGTGAGATGATCATAATTTATATTGTATATGCCTCTTATTACAGTTGTATCATGTAATTGTGTTGTGTTCGAAATTGAAAATTGTAACCAATAAGTTTTAAATAATATTAAAACTTTCATTTCACAAAAAAATTTAATATATAAACATAGCAAAATTTATGTAAAACGATTTTTTTTAACTAATCACTTGTATTCGATCGATTGATTGACTAATCTAGATCGAATTTTGTAAAGGCTCATTATAGGGATAATATTGTCAACCTAGTTTATTTTATACGTAAACGTCAAGATTCAAATATTAACCTTACTTAAAGAATCTAGTATCTTATCTTATTAGACCAATTAATTGCCGGTGTAAAATGAATGATTAACTTTACGTAAAACATGATATAACATGAAAAAGTAACAGGAATATGATTTAAAAATATGAATACATCAATATTTACATAAAAAATATCAACAAATAATCAATCACGTTATTTTATTGTTTGTATTCTATTATTTTTCTTAGAATTTTTAAGTTTGAATAACTACATTTGTAGCCTGTAGAATATTGTCAATTGATTGAGAAATTTTTAAATAAGTATTAACTTACAATCACGTCATATTAACAAAAGAAATATAGGCACCTAAGTGTCGCAACCTTTCTTGTTCTTGTTTTTTTTCACGTGTATAATTTTATTTTGATTCAAATCTAAATAAAAACATCCTCCATGTTTTGATTTTTTTTTTTTGCATATTCTTGAAGTGTTAATTTTTGTCTATTTTTTATGACATGTTAGTTAATCTACGTTAAAAACACGATTTTCTCTATCGTTATGATAATTTAGTATTTCATGTTGCGTTCATCACGACTCATATCCTAATCAAGAAAAGTGAATGACCTTTCATCTTCTTTTGTGACAATTTGTCCATATTTTTAAAGTCATTCGTGAAGTAATCTGGCAGACTGATTCTTTCACTCTTCATGCTTACATTAATATTGTGTCTAAGTTCAACTAAAGATTTGGAGATTGTTGATAGCTACTAGTTTTTTTTTTGTTGAATATAAAACATGTATTTAAAGGAAGATTTATTTTTCTTCACATTCTTTGGTTCTTTATATTGGGATCGTGTTGTATTTGTTGTATCTTATTTTATTATTCAATGGAAAAAGTTTTATTTTAAAATAAAATATTTTTTAAATAAGTTTGAAGTGATTACAAGGGTGCTCAAACCGAAAGTTTAGAAAGAATAATACTTATTTTAATCATTGATGTCACTTAATGAGTACAAAAAAATTATCTATATTTTAATTAGTTTGTTAATTTAGATAGAGATTTTATAAAATCTATTACGATATTGACTTTCCTAATATAATTTATTTATTTTAAATCATGTTTTGCTTGAGGAATAATCAAATGTTGTCACACTACTAATAAGGTATTATTAGTTTAAAAACCTTAAAAATTCATTTAATAGAAAAATAACTATTAATCAGTATTAATTGAAAAAATACTCCCAAACTATTCATGTAGGATTTCTTTATGTTATGCTAAACACATTTAAAAAGACCTTGTTTTTTTAGAACCCAATATCTAATATTAAATTTAGAAAAGTGTGTTATTCAAAATGCGAGATCAACGCGAAATTTAATTTATCAAATTATATTAAAACAAACTCGCTTTTGACAAAAAACGAGTTCTATTGACAACCCACATATAAAACACATCTAAAAAATGTACTTTAATTAAATTTGATAAAAACAATACTATATGGGCTAGAGATATAAATCAATACACTTTAGGTTATATTTGTTAGCAATGTTAGATAAAAGCTAACGTCAGTTATTCTACTTTTTCTCATGTAATCTTTAGTTTTTATTTTTACTTAACTCATATAAGAATTAAAATTATATATCTTGATAAATGTACTTTTATTAAAATTTAATTTTTATTAAAATATATATGAGCTAAAATTAAATATTTTTTATTATAAGTTTTTTTATTAACATTAGAGATACAAGAAAAATTCATGAAAGAATTTATCAAATTTTTATTAAAAGTTAATTTTTATTAACATGAATTTTGATAAATTCTTTCATGATTTTTTTTGTATCTTCAATGTTAATAAAAATAATTTAATCAAGATATTTAATTTTAGTTCATATATGAGTTAAATAAAAATTAAAAACTAGATGAGAAAAAAGTAGAAGAACTTATGTTAGTTTTTATATCACATTGCTAATAAACATAACCTAAACACTCCACTATATCTATATCAACTAACACCATTATACTTTTCAATTCATGGAGATAAAATGTATTAAATTACATCTTTAGTCCTTATATTATTATTTTTGTCAAATTTGATTAAAGTTTATTTTTTAGATGTGTTAGGTTGTCAATGAAACTCGTTTTTTGCGGAAAGCTGGTTTGTTTTAATATAGTTGATAAATCTAATTTCTCGTTGACCTCGTGTTTTGTATAACACGAGGTCTCTCTTAAGTTTAATATTGAATCTCACGTTTTGCAGAAAACGATATATTTTAATCATATTTTGTAGAAAATGATATCTTTTAATCACGTTTTGCATAACGCGAGATAATTTTATATGAACAGTTTGGAGGTATTTTTCAAAATAATTCATAATAGAGATTATTTACCTAATAAATGAACTTTTAGGGATTTTTAAACTAATAAATCCAACTAATAATTGATAATTAATAGTAGAATTCATATTTTTAATAATTATGGTTTACTTATAATTACTATTTTTTTTAAAAATATATTATATAATTAAATATATTAAATTAAAATATACAATATAAAATATATATTTATATTTTTATACAATATAATATAATGATTAATAAAAGAATTTGAATTAAAAAAATAAATACAAAATCCACGGACCAAATAGAATATTGGCATTCTAACAAATAAAAATAATTGATCACGGTACTCCTCTTTCTACTTTTTCTAGGCTTAGATTGAAATCTCCATTTCTTTTCTTTAGATTTTTAGCATTATTCTTCATAGTACTCCTCTCTCTTTCTTATTCTTTTGGTCAAAAGCTTTAAAAAGATTTGGTGCTTTCCCCCCTACTGATTAGTAAAGAAAGCTACGATTTTCCCCTTATTTCTTTAAGTTGATTTACTGGAGGCTTGGGTTTTTCAGTTTGGTAAGACGAGTTTGATATAACACTGGGTGAGTACAGATCTGAGTCTGAACTGAATATACCTTTAGATTATGCTCTTTGGGGTGTAGGACATTATTAAGAAGGTCCATTTTTTAATCTGCTTGAGAATGGATAATGTAATTGGTGGTAAGTTCAAGCTTGGAAGAAAGATTGGCAGTGGCTCTTTTGGAGAGCTTTATTTAGGTATGAAAATCCAAACCTCATACATGGGTTTCTCTTTCTTTCTATGGAAAAAAAATCTATTGTACCTTTTCTCTTCTAATTTGTAATTTGTTATTTTTGTTGAAGGGGTGAATGTTCAAACTGGAGAGGAAGTTGCTGTCAAACTGGTATGTGATATGCTCTTGATGATTTGCTTTTTGATAGTCTCATCTTTTGGTTTGCTGCTGATGGATTGGTTTCTATTGTGACTGTCAATTAGTAATGGTGATTTTTTTTTTTTTGTAGTTGAATGCCTATAAATAAAGCTATATTTAGAATAATATTGCCAATTAGTCTTTGTATCTTATTTCTGCTGTTTATCTATTACCAACCTTTGGACGTACATTGCATTAGATTTTGGACATCGGATAGAAAAATGATCTGAGATAGGCCCTTTAGTCGTTGGCTTCTTTTTTACTTCTATAAAGAAAAGTGTTTATCAAAATTGTTTCTTAATTTGTGTAAGGAAATTTCATTTGTCCAGGGCAGTGTTCCATATCTATCTGTATTTACTTTATATGTCTCATCTCATTTAAGTATGATGGAAGTATGTTATTCATCATGCTCATTTCCATTGTGAGAAGAAAAGCGTTTTGACTACACATATGAGAAATTGAAACCATGATTCTCTGAGCAAAGTTGTTTATTAACGGTTAAGTGCTATTTTGGAAGACAATTTTATCAGCTTTGTATTTCCAACCTGCAAATTTGATTTCCTTTGAAATGAAGATGGGTGGTGCACTTTCATGTAGATATGTATCATTTAGGTGCTATTTGAAGGGTGTTAAAAGTTCCTACAAACAACATATTTTTATCTAATGATAATTTATACTTTCTAACCTCCAAAGTGACGACCTTGACCCATTTTTTTTTTCTGTTCCTAATGTCAGGAATCTGCAAAGACCAAGCATCCACAGCTTTATTATGAGTCAAAATTGTATATGCTTCTTCAATGAGGAAGTAAGTTCTGTGTCTCTTCCGTGCTTGTCCCTATACGTTTGTATATAAAATGATTTGATAATCGGTATTACATCATAATTTGGCTATGGTCTTCTCTGGGGTATCCTATTCCACCGCATAGCCATTATATGAGAAAAGAAAAAGAATATAAAAAAATGCAAGCTTTGATCTGATGGAAGGCAGCTTTTCTTTATAAATGTATAAAACAACCTGTTTTTGCTACTGTTATCGGGACTTGCTGGTTTAGAAAGATAACAGAGGGTTTTCTTTCCTTTCCATAATTTTTCTTTATAAATGTATAAAACAGTCTGGTTTTGCTACTGTTATCGGGACTTGCAATATTAACTTAGTCCTAAAACAATTTGTTCGGTTCTTAATTGTAAACAATTCTATGGACATGCTGGAATGGAAGGTTGATGTTTTATCTTGAATGTTTTGTTTTTTTTTACAAAAAAAATAGAATTTCTAGAAAGCACATTATTCTTATGTATAAATGATGGTTCTCCTTGGTATAGAGGGTATTCCCCACCTTAAGTGGTTTGGAGTTGAGACGGATTACAATGTCATGGTAATTGACCTTCTTGGACCTAGTTTGGAGGATCTATTCAATCACTGCAACAGGAAACTTTCCTTGAAAACATTGTTGATGCTTGCTGATCAAATGGTATGTATATGGCTTTTTGTGATAAACAATTAGTTTCCAGGTTTTTTATATTTAATTTTCTCTCTTTTCGATCTCTGTGTTTTCCCGTAGATTAATAGAGTAGAATATATGCATTCAAGAGGCTTTCTTCATCGTGATATAAAATCTGACAACTTCTTGATGGGCTTAGGACGCACAGCACACCAGGTATTAGTTATTGTGTTTTCTTGTATATTATGTTGGCAAATATAACATGAGCGTACTCATTAGACTGCTAGCATAACACCTTCAATTTTGAGTTTCTGGTTAGGATAACAATATTGTCATTGCTGGGAATAAGATTTTGTTACGCTTGAAGTTCTAAAATTGTCTGGTATCATTGTTTTTCTTTACGATTCTGTTATTATAGGTATATATCATTGACTATGGTCTTGCAAAGAAGTATAGGGATCTTCAGACCCATAAGCACATCCCATACAGGTGATTATTTTTTCTTCAATTCTTGATACTGAAATTCAAACTTGAAGATCTCAAGATTATATACTTTTCAATCTAAATCAGTACATGACTATTAGGTTTTAGCATACTTGATAAGAAAGTTATTTCATGGTCTATAATCAGCTGGGTGTTTGTTTTAAGCATGCTGCCTTAGCATTTCCCTCTCTCTCTCTAACTTGCTCAAGTTTCTTTCTTTCTCTTTTCTCCTTTGTATCTATTTCTGTAGTGTTATCTATGCGGTAAACACATAATGAGGCTTCAGTTCTATCCAACCTAGGCCAAAGTGCTTTTGTTTGTGAAACAACTCACTGATTTCTTTGCTGCAGAGAGAATAAGAACCTAACTGGCACAGCTCGTTATGCAAGTGTGAACACTCACCTTGGAATTGGTATGTGATACTTTGTGACAGCTACCAACACTAAATATTCATAGATGCAACTATGCGAGCTTACTTGTTTCGTTTATTGACAGAGCAAAGTCGAAGAGATGATTTGGAATCCCTTGGTTATGTGCTTATGTATTTCCTGAGAGGAAGGTTATGCATATCGTGGCCACATGCTCAGTTCATAAAGTTTTTTTGCATTCCAGATAATGTTTGATTGTTGTTATTGAATCTTCTTTCTTAGTTCTTCACATTGATTTTGATTCAATTTCATTGCATCAGCCTTCCCTGGCAGGGCCTAAAAGCTGGTACCAAAAAGCAAAAATATGATAAGATAAGTGAAAAGAAGGTATCCACTCCTGTAGAGGTATGATCGCTTATGCCTTAGACGGTTTATTCCCTCTGAGAAATTTGGTTTATCTTTGGTCTGAAATATTCATCTGTGTTTAACAGGTGCTTTGTAAGTCGTATCCATCTGAGTTTGTGTCTTATTTTCACTACTGCCAATCTTTGCGGTTTGAAGATAAACCAGATTATTCATATTTGAAGAGGCTTTTCCAGGACTTGTTTATAAGAGAAGGTTAGTTATCATCATTGCGGATGCCTTAGTAATGATCTTCGTATTATATTCTGATATCCGTCACTCTCCCACATACATGTTCTTGCACATACAAACACACAGGATTTTCCCAAATTAATTTCTCCTTTGAATGCCAACTCAAATGTTGTTTTAACATTTTCCTTGTATGGTTCTGAAATTTGCATTGCTGCAGGTTACCAGTTTGATCATGTCTTTGACTGGACCATGCTGAAGTACCCAAAGATTGGTGGCAGCTCGAGAGGGCGGGTAAGAACCGCTTCTAACCTTCTAGCTCCCGGTTATTGTTATCCTGGGAATATTTTACTCAGCGTTTCGATCTGTATCTCAGCATTCCAGTGGAAGGGCAGGTTTAACTGCAGGTCCAACCATTGAAAAACCAGAAAGAATCTCAGGTTTGCTTTCACAACTAGATTCCTCATTAGAGACAGTTGTCACAGCTGAATGTTTTTTTACTAATTATGATGGCATGCTTGCCTCTTTGCTTTTGATCACCGGAATGCCTTGCGGGTTTATTGTCCTTGATGACAACATACAGTGGGGCGAGAGATTCGAGATAGATTCTCCGGTGCCGTTGAAGCATTTTCCAAAAGAAATATTTCAAGTAATAGTACTCATCTTGATCATTCTAGACGCAAGACTGTAGATGATGTCACTTTGCCGAAGCATGCGGTGAGCTTGAATTTCCATCAAATTATTTTCTTTTATTATAGAGTATAACTATAAACTACACTTTTCTGTATGAAAATCTCTCCAAAAGCGAAATCATACTTGTCAAAAAGTTTTATTAGATACCAATGCCATTTTTAGAGTTTGAACAATCTTACCTTTGGTTTGCACTTTCAGCTCCCTGCGTCAGAAAAAAGGCATAGTTCCTCTCGATATGGTAGCACTTCAAGAATAGCTGTCATAGCAAGCAGGCCCAGTTCGTCTGTTGAAGCCAATGATGTTATACAAAACCGCCTAGCATCGAGTAGTGGCCGCATGTCTACCACACAAAGAAACCAACTTGCCTTTGAATCCAAAACATCTAATCGTGCCACCCCTGTTCGAAGAAGCCATGATCATCCTCTTCGAAGTTTTGAGCTCCTCTCCATCAGAAAGTAATAGGGTTGTATTCGAATCATCAGCCAATGTTTTCTAAGAACTCATAATGTCACTATGTATATGGGATATTTCACCGGTTCACTGCCTTTAACTTCCCTTACCCAAACATCTTTTACCCCATTCAGAATACAAACGTAATTCAGGTTTGTGATTGGTTAATTATAATGCAACAATTGCAGGTGATATGATTTCCTAGAACACCTAAGTTTCAATCTCAATTCGACCAAACATTTCAAGAGTTTATTTGCACATGGCACCAAATGGATAGAATAGCATTACATTGCATTAACCCAGGAAGCATGAATGATTATTGTCATATCTACAAGAATAGTGCATTGGTATTAATACTAGATATAACACCCGGTATTCATGAAGGAAAAGTTGAGGTTCTGTTTGTTTCTTTAGCTCATGGATTTCTAAGAGCTGCCAGCCGCTTCTCAAGCTCATCAACACCCGAACTGCAAGGAGGAATAAAATATTAACAAACAAAGAAATAATTCAATCTCATTCGGTTATATGTAACAAATTGAGACATTCTCCATAGTGTCTATTACATGAGTGGAAAGAGTTGGATATAATAACAAGTCAAGTATTGTTGTTAAAAGGGTGAAGACGATTGCCAGGGACGTCTAATAGAGCCCATAATGCAGTACACTCCAGATTACAGAACATTAAGTTCAAATCTAAGATGAGGAACCACATAATATACACGGGTCTCTTGCAACTGCAAAAAGTAAACGAATTGAAATAAAATAAAACTGGGAGACAAGAAAAATACCTGCCAACGCCTTCGGTATTCTTTCCTGCAATCCTTCCTTTAGGAGCTGATGACAACTACAAGAAATTTATGTGGGAATCAGACGGTTGCACAAAATGTGATATTGGTTCACTTGAAATCCTTTCAAGGGAGGAAACCAAAATATACCAACCTGTGAGGCAACATCAATACCAATTTCGTCTAAAACCTGAAATTAAGAAAATTGAGGTTATTTTCAAATCTTTGTTTTGGGAGGTAAATGAGTCGAACAATTTGACTTCACTATTTTTCACACCCAAGAAAGCTTGTGCAAGCCCACATGATATCCCTTTACTAATGTATTGATTTACCACATCAAACCCACTCCTGACCCTCATGATTCAATCCCTAAACCCTAGTAGCTATGATTTTTGAAAAAAAATGGGAAAGAACCACACCTGATTTGTTAGGTCCTCGCTCTCATCTTCCCCTCATCATCGTCCAGAGCATCATCTATGGCATCTGACATCATTTCAGTCTGCAAGCACGGAACTAAACTGTTAAATCCATGAACATGAGCTAAAGCAATGAATAATGAACTTTTCCCGCATAGTATATTCTCAAAAGAAAAGCATGATCTAACGGTCATATCCATCTGAGCAGACTGATTCTGAAATTCTCTTATAACCTTTGCTTGTTTTTCTGGAGCCATTTGCTGCAAGGAAATCGGTCATCAGTGGTTTAAAAATCAATAATTATTTAAAAAGGGGAGAATGGTTGTAATATGTGAATTCATAAAGATGAATAGATGATTATAATATGCAAACATGTATGTATACACAAACTGGTGGCTGTGCATGAATAGATGTCAACCAATAGTTTATGCTATAGGAAGCAAATTCCCTCTGAAGGAAAAGAACAATTTGATAAACTAGTTACCGAGGATAAACATGTATAAAATCCGTATCATCATACATGTAATACAACACATATATATGTTGTTACTGACCTTATTCATAGCCGACATTGCCTTGGTGGCACCTTTCATGCCAACAACAACTGAAGATTGAGCATGCATTGCCTGCAAAAACAAATAAGCGTTGTTGGAGGCACCATGCAACAGCAGAAGGAAATAAAAGGCATGAGTAACGTGAACCTGCGTATGAGTTGCAATGTCTCTTATTTGAGCTCGACTACTTTGTAGCTTAGCTATCTGCTGCCTAAGTCTTACTAGCTGTCGGGCTAGAGTTTTAGTTGCTGCCTGCACAGTATATATGGGGGAGAAGAAGGGTATAAATCAAATTTGGGAAGACCCATGAATGCAACCAAATTACGATACTAAAATTACCTCATTTCCGGTTTTGGATGTTCTTTTGATTTCAGCAACAAGTTTCTTTTCCTGCCATTAGGATAAATCACATTAGAACTAACCATAAAACATCCTCAGATAGATGATTAGTATTCACTAGTTAGTAATTCGACAAACCTCTAACTGTAGAGTTCCTATTTCCTTCTCTGTACCTGAACCAAGGCAAGATATATATCGAGTTTTCAGAACAAAGTAATGCTCCAACTCCAAAATAAAAACTCTAAAACTAATTCAAGCATTCTACCAACGAACTGCAACAGTCCATACTTGAACAAAAAAATAAAATCTCTAAATAAACTGATACAGAATTATACTCATAATAGTTTTTTTAATAATAATAAATTACCTCTAGTAGCATGCGCCATTTCTCTCTTACTCTCGCGAAGAGCCTCTGCAAACACAGGAAAAAAATATAATTAAAAGAAATTAATTGTGAAACCATGATCGTGGAGCTTTGACAAGTCAACGCGAAGGATAACCGAAGAGGGAAGAATTCGCTTTTAAAATTGATTGCCATGAAGTGAAGAAAATTCAATTAAGACAGATTTCCAGAAATAAAGAAAAAGAATTCCATAAAAACCGGGAGATTAAAGGATCAGAGACAAAAGGAAATTGGTTGTTTGAATGATAAGGGCTCCAAAAAGAAACCAGAATTAAAATTACCTTTGGGATTGGGCTTTTTGCTAAAGATGTTCATTTTCCTTTTGCTGTGTTGATGCTTTCAGATATCTTAGCAGCACTGGGTTCCAAAGTTTGAAACAAACGCAGAATTCTGGGTGAAGAAGTCACCTTGAATCCTGTAGGGTAAATAAATTGTGAATTAAATATAGGATAACTACATAAGATGGTCACTGAAGTATGACCAAGTTTTTCTTTTTACTATTAAAATTTAAAAATTAAGAAAACAGTCACTAACATTATCGAAAAGTAATAAAATCACCGTTACCCCGTCAAGTGTCAAATACACAAAGACAGCGCTTAATGTATATAAAAAGATGTTTAAGAAACAAAGTGCACCCGAGGCTTTGAAAGCTCTTAATTCTTGCGCAGAAGCTTTACTGATAAGCAATCCTACCCTTTGAAATGGTATCTTCCCAGGACCATAAACTATGTTGTTAAAACTTTAAAGATCATATTGTTGAGAAGGTAACACACAGATTATGAAAAGATTAGACTTTATATACCATAAAACAAACAGAAAATAGCTTTGCCAAATATGAGTCTTGCAAGAAAGTTGGAAAAACAAAAAGCACCAAAAGAAGCTTTCGAAACTACCATTTTTTATGGATTTGTGGTTTTGTTTTGGAACTAATAATGACAGAATGTCCTTTTAACCTTTGATGCTGATGAAAAAAGAGGGTAAAATTCAGATGGGTTTCCCAAAAGATATAATTGCATGTGGCCCATATAGGATGGCATGCCTCATCTGTAAGGAGGGTAATCTCAACTACTCCTAACAATCGAGGTAAAAAGAAAGAGAGATCATTGCTAGATAAATGAATTGGTTGTTTTCTCTCTTTTTTGTTCTTGGTTTTTACATATCGATGATAATGAATGAATAGTTCGCGTCCACTTCAACTGCAATGCAACTCCAGCTGTTTTTCTTTATTTTGGACGTGAGTTGCAACTGTAATGTTTTTATCCATTTCTATTGTCTGAACCTTCTTCATAAATCCCTGAATCATGATTAATGCTATAAAACTGCAGCTTTTTCTCGAGGGATGCATCAACTCATGATTTAAATGTCTTCAATGGCTTCAGCTACAATCTAGTTAGCTTTACTAGCTAATCCTAGCTTAAAACACTTGTTTTTTTCCTTATTCTGCAAAAATAGATTAGCTGCAAAATCAATAAGATATCCACTTGTCATTGATTCATTCGGTAAAGTAGAAAAGGAAAACAAAGGTAATTACATGATTGTACCCACTGAAATACTACTGAACTCCAAAAATTTTCCATTGATTCAAGCCAGTATTAACTTGTTTCTGTAATATCTATTACAAGTATTCTCTCTTTTTTCCCCATGCATTTTGATGACAATCGATCAAACATAAACTATGAAAAGAGCCCAAATTAGGAGTAAGACAAGAAAAGATGATGATGATAACATCCGAGAATGAGAAGTTCCGATGAAGAAGACAGGCTTGGAAATGTCTGGTTTGCAGCATTTCTTCAATTCCCCAAAGTTTTTCCCATGGCTCCATTTCTCATCAGCACACAGTTCTGGATTGCCTTTTAACCTCAACTTTTCACCAACTTTAGCAGAAAAAGGAATTCTTCCACTAAGATTGTTGTTTTCCAGATTGATTGATTTCACAAACTCCAGATTTCCTAACTCCTTGGGCACTTTCCCTTGAAGCTTGTTGTTGTCAAGGCTTAGATAACACATGTTTCTCAAGTGCACCCCCATGGAAGCCGGAATTTCACCTACCAATCCCATATTGGAAAATCCTATTCCCAAAATACCCCCTAGATTCTCCCATATTTCCGGTATCTCCCCTCCTAGTAAATTCCCACTCAAATGCACCTCCTTCAATCTGGGCATCCCGGCAAGAAACAGAGGAACCCCAAAGTTGCCGAAACTGTTAAAACTCAAATCCAATAACTCGAGAGCTTGTAAGTTACTCAAGCTTTCTGGGATTTTACCAGAAAACCCATTAGAACTCAAGTCCAGCTTCAAAAGCTCAGTGAGATTACCAACCGAACAAGGCACATTTCCGTTGAATCCATTGTCACTCAAATCAAGAACTTTCAGCTTCTTTAACTTCGATAAACCAACAGAAACGTTACCACTGAGCTTGTTTCTCGACAGTGTAATCTCTTCAACGTTAACCAAATCACCGATTGCATCTGGGAGGCTACCATAAATTCCATTTCCAGTCAAAACCAACCTCCTCAAGCTTGTGAAATTTCTGATGATGCCACTGATAGGACCAACAAAAGCTGGGTTATTTATAAAGACGAACTCTTCAAGAG